AGTGTTAACATTCATACACTACACCCACAATGTTCCATCTAATTAATCATTAAGCCTGTTCTTGCATATATCTTGATTGACACATACCTTATATATTAGTTTAAACTCGTCAGTTCTATTACTATTTTTTATGTCTACACTTAAATTATTCCATAGTTTTACCCCACTTATGGAAATACAAAATCTCTTTTTGGTTGTACGTATAGCATGAATTTTTTAATTTAACTGACCCCTTAAATTGTATCCCCCTTCCCTTTCATTAAATAGTTTTTGAATTCCACCAGGTAATACATTTTTCCTGGCTTTATACATAAACACAACAGTCTTATATCCCACTAAATCAAAATATTTTAACAATTTAGACTGTATGAAAGCTACATTGGTGTGATCCCTATAACCCATCTTATGCACAATTCTTATCGCTCTTTTTTTTGTAATATATTTTTGCTCTTTTTTGTTATGAGCATTTAAATCCATCCCTCCAACATCACATTATGTTCGTGACTGGTTTCTAACGTTGCTCAAGGGATAAAACTTTGAACTGTCAGCTTACTATCAAAGATATCAGATCTCTCAATTTCTGTTAAATGTGTTGTGGCTATACAGTGTTATATTCTGCTACTGAAGAGGATGCTGCAAGAAAATAGCAGTACACTGCCCACCTAAACCTATATACTTCATCACACAGCATGTGAATATTAGACCAGTTATATCTAACATGACATTCCCAGGTGCTGAATGTTCTTTTAAACACTTCTTCTCTCCCTCATTTAACCCACCAGGTGAGATGGTTCGTCAGGCTCGTATCCTTGCCCAGGCCACGTCTGATCTGGTCAATGCCATCAAGATGGATGCAGAGGGAGAGTCTGACCTGGAGAACTCGCGCAAACTGCTGTCAGCCGCCAAGCTGCTGGCCGATGCCACGGCCAAGATGGTGGAGGCCGCTAAGGTCTGCCTTTGTTGTTTTCTTTTATTTGTCCGCTCTCAGCATAATGAGCTCTGAATTTTAGTTAGCATGTGCATCTGATGTATAACAATCGGTGTGTCTTTCACCCCAGGGTGCAGCAGCAAACCCTGACAGCGAGGAGCAGCAGCAAAGGTTGCGTGAGGCTGCTGAAGGTCTCCGCATGGCCACCAATGCTGCCGCTCAGAATGCTATCAAGAAACGGCTGGTCAACAAGCTGGAGGTAACAAGGGAAATGAGTGATTGTATGTGGTGTTGCCACCACAGATATCGTGGCACTGACCAGCGCAATCGGATAAAAACAATAACCCACTGGTTACCATTAAACACTATATTGTGGTCCACTTTTACAAGGCGGCAACAGGCTTGTCCCTTTTTTTTTTTTTAGCCCTGTGGAAAATAATATTTGCCAACAACAAATGCATGGATTTGACAATTTTCAGATAAAATAGAAAAGACAAACATGAAATTGAAGTGGTGAAGTAAAATTAGTGAGCATTCCACCTGCAAAAATGATGACACACAGGTACATGAGTCACATTTAGGAGCCATTTCCGTTTTGAAGTTATGGGCGACATGAATCACTGGAGTGTGTCATCGACATTGTAACATGTTAAAAAATTCTGCTATTGCAAAATTCAGCAGCCCACATTTCCACATTCCCTCTGCATTCCCTGAAGATGCCCGGTATACTGGGTTTTGCGCTTCAGTCACTTGACCGATGTGCTACCTTAAAAGTACTAACGGTGAATGTAACTTAAAGATGATATGTGACAAAGCTGCGTAAGATGAGCTTCCCTTTTACAACATTATTCTGCTGACTCGGAAAATATTCAAGAAGAGTTGACAACTGTCTTTTGACTTTGTGGGTTAAAGTGTCCTTTAACCAAGTATCCCCATATTAGTTCTCTCCTTACCTGCTAATATAGTGCCAACTACTTTAATCAGTCATACTGGTATAGTTCTAAGTGATATTTCTTGCTGCTGTTTGAAGCTGACACGTCTCTCTCCTGTTTCTGCTTAGAATGCAGCCAAACAGGCAGCCGCAGCAGCCACGCAGACCATAGCCGCTGCCCAGCATGTCGCTTCGTCCAACAAGAACCAGGCTGCACAGCAACAACTTGTTCAGAGCTGCAAGGTACACAGACTATTTGCTTCTGTCTGATGAGTTACAAAGTGCCTTTGTTTGCAGTGTATTGTCTCTCTGTCTTCATTTGATCACACTCTCTTATCCTTTCACAGCTTTTAATTCAAATGACCGGTTTTTAAATCAAAAAGTCAGTAATTTGACTTCTTTTACATATCTGATACACAAGATTACAGCAAGACAGTTAAATGGAATCCTGACACATATATAAAAAAAAAACCCTGTTGGTTATAGTCCCTACTGTTTTTGCTTCATAAGATAGGAAAACATATCTGTATGATGTCAGAAAATAATCACGCTGTTCAGTTTTAGATTTAAAAGAAGATGACTGGTAAACTATTCAATTTTGTAATGTATGGCAATTTTCTGTGTGTGCGTGTGTGTGTGACATCAGATGGTGGCAGAGCAGATTCCACAGCTGGTTCAGGGAGTCCGAGGCAGCCAGTCTCAGCCTGACAGCCCCAGCGCTCAGCTGGCCCTCATCAGTGCCAGCCAGAACTTCCTGCAGGTGACTGTCACACCACCAGCTCCGTTCAGTCAGTGAACAGGGGCAGCGCCTCAACATTCTTAAGTAACAGAACAGAACATAAAGCACAGCACAGTAGTGATGATAAAGTGGGTCGTCTCCTAACCGGAGATTAGCGGTTCGATTCCCGGTTTGTCCACGTGTTGACGTGTCCTCGAGCAAGACACTGAACCCCAAGTTGCTCCCGGTGATGACACCGGTGTGTGAGTGCTTGGGAGTATGACTGGCCAAATAACGTGAAAGCGCTTTGAGAGTGCTGCAATGCATAGAAAAGTGCTAAACAAGTATAAGACCATTTATTGTTTAGGGAATACGCTGTTTTGTCACTATACCAAACTACCATGCAACAGTAATGCAAAACGTTCAAATGCAAACTTGACATCTGTGAAGCATTTCTCAACTCTCTGACCTCAAGTCTCAGCAAGTTTGTTTTTATAGTGCTCTTGAATAACCTGAAATCAGTGTGTGATTGAAGAGCTGATAAGACTTGTTCAAAAAGCAGCAGCATGCTTTGGAAAATGGTCAACAGTATGGCTAGACTTCCACAACTTTGAATGTAGATATTCAGGGTCCAGGGGATTGATTTCTGTGATCTTAGCTCTAGTTCCACCTTAAAGGCAATATATTTATGTTCACTGTGTTCTTTGTTCACCCAGCACTTTCATACTGTATAGTTAATGTTGTTTAAGTGAAACCTCGTGCTAAGGCTTGATTTCTTCCACTCCTTTTTTAGCCTGGTGCCAAGATGGTCACGGCCTCCAAGGCCACTGTTCCCACCATCAGTGATCAGGCCTCAGCGATGCAGCTCAGTCAGTGTGCCAAGAACCTGGCTACTGCCCTGGCTGAGCTCCGCACTGCCTCACAGAAGGTACTACACATCTACATTCTTCGTTATATTGTCCTTACGGTGTGGACTCAACCCAGACTTCATTAACATGCTTTTAATAATTACACAGTGAGTTGATTATATTATATTATGTCAGGGCTGTAGTTAATTATATAACCCTGTTCTCAGTTCTCGGGTACTCTGCAGATTTATATAAAATATAAATATGCTAATATGTGAGATGTATTTTGCTTATATTTAAAGTGTACAAGGATAAAGAGTAAGAGCAGTTTGTAGCCATTTTATTGAGTCTTGCTGATAATGTGTGGACAGAGAGCACAACCTGCTGGCCTGTCGCCACTGATGGTTTCTTGTCCTGTGCTTATGATGTTGAGAACACACAGTAGCACATTTAATACACTGCCGGACTTCGCTGGCCAACCTGTCTGTTAAGCTGTTAGACGGGTAGCGTTAAGTCTGATTTTAGTACTTGATCTTCTCTAGAGGTAAGCTTTGACTTGCAATGTTATGTCTTGTGCATTTTTAACCATTATGTTTGTGTGTGTGTGCACGCATGCAGGCTCAGGAAGCATGTGGTCCGTTAGAGATAGAGAACGCCCTGTCAATGGTGAGAGGTCTGGAGAAGGGCATCCAGGAAGCCAAGGCTTCAGCTGAGCAGGGCAAACTCAAACCACTGCCAGGAGAGACGGTGCGACACATACATACACACACACACACACACACACACACACACCTTTCTTTTTTATCCATCATGGGGACTTTATGCTGATTTACATTCATTTCCTGGAGACTTTTTGGACCTTAGCCATAACTACTACTTGGCCTTAGCCTAACACTTAACCAAGCTGTGAGTGTAAAATTCACTGATTTAATATGGTGAGGACCAGCACTCGGTCCTCTAGGGAAGGCCAAGCCTCCACAGTGTGAATATGTAAATAGGTTTTGGTCCCCATAGTCTGAATAATGTCAGACACACACACAGGAACAGTGTTTATTCCTTCCCAGGTTGTGCCATGCCATCTACTGGGCATCAACAGCAGCCTCATTTCCCAGCCTTTCAAACAACAGACAAATTGAAGACATATACTTCAGACATTTGAATTACAGCTTCTTCTCACATCTCCGTACTGTGTTGTTCAGCTTGAGAAATGCTCCCAGGATCTGGGTACCAGCACCAAGGCAGTGAGCTCGGCCATCGCCCAGCTGTTGAGTGAGGCCACCCAGGGCAATGAGAACTACACAGGTGGGTTTCACATTAACACTCCTCATTAATACACAAGAGCAACAATGTCACTCATTGTATCACATCCAGAGAATGTACCTCATGCCTCAAATATTACTGCATATAGATTTTTATTTTTTTAAAAAGCAGCGTTTAGTGGACGTCACAAGCTGACTGCTTGTGTCAAACTATCATACAGTGTTCAAACGAATTAATGTTAAACATTATGAAAAAATATTTCAAGACTTATAATTCAAATACATCAACTGTGAAATATTCATGGACAATTCAAAACTCGGATCATGATAATGAAATTTTGATGTGAAAATATTCTAATGCAGGTCATTTTTATTTTCCTATACTTTCCTATGACCTATACTCATCATAGCAAGTGCTGTGTGACTGTAAACATACACTTATACTGGTTTAAGGGTAAAAAGGGGGCTTCTGCGTGATGACCACAGGCAAAGTGGTTAAGTTCAAACCATGACACTAAAGAATGATGAACCTTTGATTGGCTTTATTTTAGCTAAAACCAGTTGTTTATAAAATGTCTTGTGCCACACTAAAGTTGGTCTCTTCTCCCCTGTTGGATCTAGGCATGGCAGCTAGAGATGTGGCCCAGGCTCTAAAATCCTTGGGCTCAGCTGCCCGAGGAGTCGCTGCCACCACAGAAGACCTAGCAGCACGCAACGCCATGCTGGACTGCGCTAGTGACGTCATGGATAAGTCAGCCAACCTGATCGAAGAGACTAAGAGGGCCGTCGCTAAGCCAGGAGATGCAGAGAGTCAGCAGAGGCTGGCCCAGGTCACTCAGACACACAATATGTTGTATGGTCTAGATGGTTGCTTAGTTATGGCAAGTAGTGACTTGAGATAAGCTGTTTGTGAAATGAGACTGTTGCCTGATTAGTAATAAGACAGTGACTCAATCATGATGAAAATCAACTTGCAGAGACATGCAACTTATTTGACTTTGACACTGAGATGTGTGTGTGTGAATAGGTGGCTAAGGCAGTGTCTCAGGCCCTGAACAGATGTGTGAACTGCCTTCCTGGCCAGAGGGATGTGGACAACGCCATCCGCACTGTGGGCGAAGCCAGCAAGACTCTCCTCGCTGATTCTGTTAGTAAATAGTACCGGTCTGTTGTAAGATAGTAGCATTACTACTGATGTATAGAACTGAGGTGAACTTGTAGTTGGTTTTGTGGGTTTCATAGTGAAGATTTTCTGTTTTAGACAACCAGGGGTATGTTCCAGAAAGTAAGTTTAGCTTAAAGTCCGAGTTGAGGGGAAACCCTGAGTTTTCAGTTTCAAAAACAGAGAGGACTTTAACTCTGACTCAGATAACTGTGTGAAGCTGGCCTGCTGCTGCCCCTTTTTCTCCAACAAACTAGGCATGTCTCGATACCAGTGTCAGGTCCGATGCATTTAGCAGCAACATTACATTAAACCCATGCTGGCGGAGCAGGCCATTAGGCAGAGGAGAAGACACTTTAGTGGTTTTTGGGATATTTTAAGGAAAGTGATGATTTGAGCTCTGTTTCTCTGCTGTGTGTGTCTAAGGGAGGAGACACACAGCACACGAGAAACCTCGCAGTATTGTGACATCTTCACTTTCCCCACAGTCAGAATTTCTCATCATCTTTTCACCCATTAAACCTGTTGAGCTTTTTTGTAGACTTAGGGAACAACCTGCTCCTCTACAGCAGTGCATGTAGGCTGTGTGTCCGGCAGAGAGGCTGCATATCAACATTCAACCTTTTTAATTATAAATTTGTACAAATTTTTCTTTTGTGGTGGAAGGTCACAAAATACAGCATTTTCATCCTAAAAGAGGGCCACACTCCTAAAAAGGTTAAAAACCACTGTGTGTTCTGTAGTGGGCTACAGAAATGTAGTCAGTAGGCTACACGTTATAGTTAATTGGAGCGGTGGTAGTGTCCTTTCTGTTTACACAAAAGGTTTTAAGGTAATTTGCACAGCATCCTGTTATATATTCCATTTAACTACAGTCAAAGTAAATCTCATGAAAAGGAAAATAGCCTCTAATGTTATTGCACTTTTATGGTAATTGTAATTTTTATAGTAGAGACGCTGCATTGCTATTAAGTAGGTACTGGCAAGCACTGAGATGCAAGTACTCGGAGTTTGGCGCCGGCTCCTCCTGCTGAGCCTGAAGGAGCTGTTGGACACAACCTTTCATTTCTTCATTCATACAGTTTGATTCAAAGCACATTCATCTGTACCGTCAGGAGAAGAAGATCAAAATCCCTGGAGCATATTAATTTGTTAGCCAGGCCTATGTTTACCTAACTCTAGTACTTTTAATTATAGGCAGCAAGTGCTAAAACATCTACAGTTTTGTTTGATTTTTGTTTTTGCTCTGTCTTCCATATTGCTGCTCTTATCGCTCTTCTCTTCCTGCTGTAGTTCCCATCCAGTGGAAGGAGCTTCCAGGATGTTCAGGCTCAGCTCAACAAGGTGGCCGCTGGTCTGAACCAGTCAGCCAATGAGGTGGTCCAGGCGTCCAGAGGGACCACCCAGGACCTTGCTAGGGCCACCAGCAAGTTTGGGCAGGACTTCAGCAACTTCCTGGAGGCTGGCGTTGACATGGCCGGAACATCTCAGGTCAGTACTGGTGAGAAATGGTAATGTTAGGAGCAGTAACTTTATTTCAGTATGTTTTTCAATAGCAGCTGTATGGTACAGTTATTGACACTATATCTTTCCTCCAGTCTAAAGAGGGTCAGACACAGGTGGTGTCCAACCTGAAGACAATCTCTATGTCATCAAGCAAGCTGCTGCTGGCAGCTAAAGCCTTGTCCACTGATCCCAGCTCCCCTAACCTCAAGAACCAGCTAGCAGCCGCAGCTCGGTAAGAAACAGATCTCTTGCTCTCTGCTTTGGTATTTATTCAGATTTTTTCTGTCTGTCTTGTACATCTCTGAGCCTCTGTGTCCACAGGGCAGTCACAGACAGCATCAACCAGCTTATCACCATGTGTACTCAGCAGGCTCCAGGTCAGAAGGAATGCGACAATGCTCTCAGAGAGCTGGAGGTAACAACCACTGTACAGCCATCCATTTATTAATACATTATTCCTCTAGTGTTTCATCTCCTCTTCCCTTTAGTCTTGTTATGCTGCTCTTAAAATCACCAGTGTAAGTCAGATTGGGACTGGTTCATATATGACAACGGAACTTTAGAGGCTGCTGTATGAGCTGGGCTTTTAGTGTATAAATGATTTGATGTGAGTTGCTTGACATGAGCAATGATTGGTCCCGTCCTTGTAGCTTAAAATCAACTCTCACAGCTCAGGTCAGTGATGCCATCAGAAAAATGTACTTGGAAGTGATTTCCAATAAATTCCAGCATTTAGATGGTACAGTGGTCGTGTGGCAGTCAGCTGAGATGTGCACTTTCTCATGTGTGTGTTATGACTGGGCTGTGTCTGTGTGCAGTCGGTGAGCGGGATGCTGGAGAACCCGACAGAAGCCGTCAATGAGATGTCGTACTTTGACTGCATCGACAGCGTCATGGAGAACTCTAAGGTGGAACGCATGTTGCTGCTGCTCTTCTGCCGTGTTTGCTTCCCATCATTTGTTTCTTCACTCACATATTTTCATCACCCATCTCTCATTCCCTTACTCCTTTGTAAAAGACATTTGTATTGACAAGTTGCTTTGTCTTACAATAGGTGCTGCTTCGCTGCATTAAATGTATGCATTTATCTTTTAAGAGGAGAGACTGTCCACAGTGACAGTAATGCTTTCCTTCAGTCAACATTTAACCCAGTTCTTTTCACTTCTCTTTGTCCAGACAGTATGTGTGATTCCTCACTGTTTGTATGATACTAGTGCTAATCAGGGGTTAATTTATTTAAAGATGTTCTTAATTTACATTACAAAAAAGAAAAAAATAACCCTAACCGTCCTCTGATATTAAAACCCTGTAAAGTGTCCTGATGCGACTATATAAATAAAATTGAATTAAATTGAATCTCTGCTTTCCTTTGACAGGTCCTTGGTGAGTCCATGGCTGGCATTTCCCACAATGCCAAGAACTCCAATTTGCCAGAGTTTGGTGATTCTGTCAGTGCCGGCTCCAAAGCTCTCTGTGGTCTGACTGAAGCAGCTGTACAGGTAAAATCATAACTGTAGTCTCACACCACTCTGAGACTAATAGCTGCTCTGTTTCTCTTCGAGCTGGTGCGTGCTTTGGCTATGTTTCTAATACTGTATGTGTAATGTTTGCATAGTGTAAACTGATTGATGTCCCTAGGCTGCCTATCTGGTGG